TCCCCTTTTAATTCTGCAATTAAGGAGTGTCATAATTTTAGGGGATGAAACTTTTCACAACTTTTCTTCGAATCGCCAATACAGGGTGAGTCATGAGGAATCGTACATACTTTAACAGTGTATAGAGGCACTTAAGGTGAATATCATACGACTATTAAAAGTTCCATCTGGCTCTTCTCTAAGGAGATACAGGGTGATTTATGAATGTTGACAAAATTTTTTTTGTTTATATCTTTATGGTGGTTATTTCGATTTGGTTTATTTTTTGCTAAAAGTATACATTTTGAACCAGCAACACACTGGCATATTCAAAATTAAAAAAATTCAGGACCGTCTTCAAAAAAAAAGGTAAATATTTCCAAACTTAAAATTTCACCCTGTATACACTTTTTCTAAATTTTCATTTGGTTAATGTTGAAGGTATAAGTAACTCATAAAGCCTGAGCATCAGAAATTTTTGCCACACTTTGTTTAAATTGTTAATTATCAATTAACTTTTATAAAAAATTACACATTAGGATAACCGAATAATTTACATTAAAATAATATTTTCAATCGTACAAATTTTAATGAAAATTAATAAAAACGACTAATTACATATTCCTTTGTTATTAAAAAGTCCTAAAATTACAAAAAAAATCATAAAATTAACTCAATAAAAAATATTCATCGTGCATGATAATAACTGTTCAAAAACTAATCAAAAACACAATAATTTAATAAAAAATCTATTTTACATTATAAAACATGCTCAAAATGAAATCCATTTACCATTGCTAAATCCGTAAACAAAAATAATTTCAACATTGAAATATTTCAGCAATTGAATATTTAAATGGTATTTTTTAATAAACAAAATGTATCAATTAGTAACACACAACAATTCAATTCTTATTTATTGACGAAAGAATGAAACCAAATGTCAAAATGCAAAAACAAAGAAAGGGTTAATTTGTCATAAACTATTTCGATCATTATATCGAATTTAACATACAGAAAAATAATTCATTCAGAATATTATTGAATTATTTTTTTTTGTAATTTTTGGATTTTTTAATAGCAAGAATATGTAATTAGTCGTTTTTATTAATTTTCATTAAAATTTATACAATAGAAAATATTATTTTAATGTAAATTATTCGTTTATCCTAAGTGTGTAATTTTTCTTAAAAGTAAATTGATAATTGACAATTTAAACAAAGTGTGGCAAAAATTTGCGATGCTCAGTCTTTATAAGTTACTTATACCTTCAACATTAACCAAATGAAAATTTAGAAAAAGTGTATACAGGGTGAAATATTAAGTTTGGAAAAATTAACCTTTTTTTTTAAAGACGTCCCTGAAATTTTTTAATTTTGAATATGCCAGTGTGTTGCTGGTTCAAAATGTATACTTTTACCAAAAAATTAACACCATAAAGATAAAAACTAAAGAAAATTTCGTCAAAATTAATAGAATCACCCTTCATAGAATCACCCTGTATCTCCTTAGAGAAGAGCCGGATGGAACGAACTTTTAATAGTCGTATGATATTCACCTTAAGTGCCTCTATACACTGTCAAACTTTGTACGATTCCTCACCACTCACCCTGTATAAAAAATTCACAATAAACGAGATACACAGGTAATTTATTCCACCCTATATAGGTCTAAGGGTTGTCGAAACCGATAGGAAAACACCCCCACAAACCACCATCCTCCTCCCAAAAAAAAACTACCTAGTTTCCCCGAACACCGGGAAAGAATAGTGAGATAGTCCCCCGGGGAGAAAATACATATTTCAGGTGAAGAGATTAAGGGATGACGGGGGCGTTATATGGAAGTTTCGGGATTTCGCGCGCTCCCGGAATCATCATCGGATGTTTTACGGCTTCCTAGTTATTCTGGAACCGGAGTTTATTTATCCTGCAGGAGTTCCAAAGAACCCTTTATGGATTTCTGAGGCTCCAACGATAACCGCTGCTCCTTTATAGCAATACACACCTTAAATAAATATACATTTTTTTTGAGTTAGTAACACTTAATTAGTTAATAAGGGGTAGTTTTTTTTTGTAATTTAATAATTATATTCTTAAGGTAATTTTCTTTGGAAATGTTAAATTCGTTTCTATACACTGTGTTATTTATAAGATGTCGCATCTTATAAATCTTATAAATCTTATAAATAACACAGTGTATATACTTATCTAGCTGACTTACAAATTTAAATAACCGACCCTCAACTATATCTAATCGATCTACAAGCTTTACTAATCGACAAAATTCTTATTTAGCCGACTTACAATCGTTTCTATAGGCGACTTACAATCTTGACTTAAACTGGTAGCTAATCGACCTGAAAACGTTACTAACACTATATACACGTTGCTAGCCGACCTACAATAATAACTAATCGCCCCCTTAAATATTGCTAACCGATCTACAAGCGTAACTAATTAACCTACAAGCGTTACTTAATACTTAGTCGACTTTCAATCTTAACTAATCGACTCCAAACTGCAGCTAATCGACCTACAAAGCGTTACTAATCGCAATTATATTCATCTAACTGATTTACAAACTTAAATAACCGACCCTCAACTATATCTAATCGATCTACAAGCGTTACTAATCGACAAAATTCTTGTTTAGCCGACTTACAATCGTTACTAGCCGACCTACAATCATAACTAATCGCCCCCTTAAACGTTGCTAACCGATCTACAAGCGTAACTAATTGACCTACAAGCGTTACTTAATACTTAGTCGACTTTCAATCTTAATTAATCGACTCCAAACTGTAGCTAATCGACCTACAAGCGTTATTAAATACTTAGCCGACTTTTAATCTTAACTAAACGACTCCAAAATGCAGCTAATCGACCTACAAGCGTTATTAAATACTTAGCCGACTTTTAATCTTAACTAAACGACTCCAAAATGCAGCTAATCAACCTACAAGCGTTATTAAATACTTAGCCGACTTTTAATCTTAACTAAACGACTCCAAAATGCAGCTAATCGACCTACAAGCGTTATTAAATACTTAGCCGACTTTTAATCTTAACTAAACGACTCCAAAATGCAGCTAATCGACCTACAAAGCGTTACTAATCGCAAATATACTCATCTAGCTGACTTACAAACTTAAATAACCGACCCTCAACTATATCTAATCGATCTACAAGCGTTACTAATCGACATAATTCTTATTTAGTCGACTCACAATCGTTACTAGGCGACTTACAATTTTTTTTTGAGTTAGTAACACTTAATTAATTAATAAGGGGTAGTTTTTTTTGTAATTTAATAATTATATTCTCAAGGCAATTTTATTTGGAATTGTTAAATTCGTTTCTACTTCGAAATCCAATGGAGTAGTTTAAAGGGTGGATAAAATAGGGGATGCTTAAATTTATTGTGTTAGATGTCGGAACACAAACGAACGAGCCCTTGTCGTTAAATTCCGACAGCTATTTCTCGCTAAATCACCCCCTACCTACCCTCTATAAAATAATAATTACGAGTAACAAAAAAATAATCTATTCGGTGAAGTTACGACTCGACATCAGCGAGACTGATGGTCGTTAAAATCGGGGAAAACAACCTAATAAAGCGGAATTAGCGCGAACGTCCATTAGCCCTTCGCGTAGAGGGCGAGGTTGATGAGAAAACAATGCCTATTTTGTACTCTTTAACGCATTTTCTATCTACTTTCTTTGGATTTATCACTGAAAAAAATGCTGCAAATCTTCAAACAACCTGTTGCTATTCGATCTACAAGTGTTACTAATCGACCTACAAGCGTTAATAATCGACCTACATGCGTTACTAATCGACCTATATGCGTTATTAAATACTTAGCCGACTTTCAATCTTAACTAATCGACTCCAAACTGCAGCTCATCGACCTACAGGCGTTATTAATCGCAAATATACTTATCTAGTTGACTTACAAACTTAAATAACCGACCCTCAACTATACATCTAATCGACCTACAATCGTAACTAATCTCCTATTAAATGTTGCTAATCGATCTACAAGCGTTACTAATCGACCGTACTTGTTGCTAATCGATTTACAGTCGTAACTAGTCTTTAAAATATCCTTTGAAAACCCGATGTATTTATACAAAAATAACGGAAATTCGTTGGGAAATTTACCAATTAACCGTCCAGTGTGGTTGATGTTTTTTTTACCATCCCTCTGCCCTAAATTGTCGTAAAACACCGCGGAAAAGAATTTTCCCCGTGGATAATTGCTCGGAAACTGAATCGTTTTCCCATCAATCGGGGTCGGTCGAATT